TGTTTACGATATATATATATGTCATATCTCAATAGCATTCTTGACTATGATAGATAATCTGAAAATAAATTGACAACGTGCTGTTTTACGTCAGATCATTATTATATGATCAACTGTTGATTATTGTTACTCAATGTATAATAAACCAAATAATGAACCATCTGACTTGATGTTCATTGGTTATATTTGTAAAATAAAATCTGAAGGAATATTGTCAATTGTCTTTGATCTCTCCCGTCTTATAGCAGAAATAATAATAATAATAATAATGAAAAGAAAAGAAAAAAACGATGAAAAGAATAATGTACATACAGAAGAAGAAAAAGACAAGTATTACATCCACACGCTCTATTCTCTGGGCGAACAAATTGAATCGAACCACAGGTAACAACAGCGATACAATAAAAAAATAAAAACGAACAAATAATAAGAATACAACCGTTATCATATACTGATGTTGATGATGATCCAATGTAATACAATAAGCTATGTGTGAAAGACGCGCGACCCAAAAAAAAACAGTAGAGGAACTATGTGCGAGTAATGAAAATTTTTAAAAAAACTGAATGGAGCCGTGTCGTACATATTCACAACGTCATTCCCATACGTTGCAATGCTAACAAAGCATTAACCGCTTTCTAAAAAAAGTTGAAGAAAAACAACTTTCAAAAGAAATCAATGTTTGAATAGAATGATTTAACCTGCCAACGTCGTCTTATAACAAATCTACGTAGTTTTTTGGTAGATAATTTCTTTTCGGCTATTTCTTCATCGCTTGGAATAGTTACTAGTTTTGGTCGACGCGTTAACCATGGATGTGCAAGACATTGTCTTGCTGAAAGACGTTTACTATGCGAAAAAAAAGAGAAAACGAAGTATATGTCTTATAAATTAATTATTTCTTTCAACTCTTACTCTTTATCTTTAACAAGTAATTTTGATATAAAATCTTTTGCTTCTTTTGATATATCCGTAAATGATTCATCATCAAAATCATAATTAGCTCGATTTATATTAGCATATGTATCATTATCGTTTTCACCCATAAATGGACTTAAACCTGATAATCTAAAAGAAAAAAAGTTCAATTTTTATTCTCTAATTTTCTTTTTCTGTTTAAATAACTTACAAAACATAACAAATAACTCCAACAGACCTAAAATAATAATAGAAAACAAAAATAATAATCGATATAATTTCATCATAACTAATAATCATACCACATATCTGTACCAAATCCAACTCTATCAAAATTAATAACTTCTGGTGCAACAAATTCAGGTGTACCAAATAAAACTTTCAATTGTTTACTTGGATCAAATTTTCTTGCAAGACCAAAATCAATAATTTTAATTCGATGACCACCTCGATTAACACATAAAATATTTTCCGGCTATATACAATCAAAAAATTTTAGACAAATCTTCGAAAAATAATTAAACAAACCTTCATATCAAGATGAACTATATTACATGAATGCATAAAACTAACACCTTCACATATTTGCATCATATATAATTCACAAAGACGTTCAGTTAATATAAAATCATCATCAATAACACGTTCAAATAATTCTCCACCACTAATTCTAAACAAATAAGAAAAATTTTGTTTTTATATTTGAATAAAAATTCAATTTTATTTTTTTTTACAATTCCATAATAAGACAAATATTTCCTTTTGTTTCAAAAGCATCATAAAGTTGTAGAAGACGTGGATGTTGCAGTGCTTTCATTATTTCAATTTCATTTAATGCTTCAATACGATCTTGTTCTTTATTTAGTTGAATAAATTTTGCTGCTAAAAAGTGTTGAGTTGATTTTTCACGACACTTTTTAACTTCACCAAATTTTCCTCTAAATTTAAATATTATTTTTGCAAAAAACAATGTCTTTTGTCTTTTATTGATTTTACCTGCCAAGAATTTCCATAAGTTCATATTCATCTGTAACTGATTTATTTTTCTTCACTGTTACAATACGTGGTGAAAATGGTGGATCGACATCTAGAACACACATACACACATATATACATATGTATGATCTCATTTTCAAGACAATTATATGTTTTTTTTATTATTACCATCTTCTAATACAACATCATGAGATGTATGATGACCATGTTGTTGCAGTACATCAGGCCTAGAAGAAAATAGAAATGAAATTTATTTTATAGTAATTATTATTCTAACTCACATAGCAATTAATTCTATAAAGAAAGAGAACAAAAAGAAATAGGTCTTTTTGTTTTTCTATTACTATGTGCCCGCTATAATAAATGTATGTTATCGTACAAGCGAGAAGAATAGAACAAATCGAGAGAAGAGAATTAAAAACAAATAATAGACACAAAAGATTATAGTATATATAAATATCTTTGCACAAGTTGCATACTGATAACATCATATCACATAAGCGAGAAAATAATGTTATGTCTGACATGTATATGAGATTACTGAATAACAAAATGACGTTTATAAGTCAAAATATGTACAAAATTATTTTGTAAGGAATTTTAGAACATGTTAATAATTCTAATAGAATTATTCACACGTACCTACGAAAACTGTTGTTTTTCTTTGATACAAATCATAAAATATCAAAATAATCAAATCAATAATAAATATTTTTTTTTTCTTTTTTGTATATTAATAAAGCCAGTGATCGTATTTTCCTTATTGATTAACTTACTGTAGCATATATGTGATTAGTAAAGCGAAGCATTAGTATATATATATATATATATCTGTATTTGTTACCCGTAGAGTCGAATAAGTGAATCTCGCTTATATTTTAATGGTAGATTTGTATTTATAGTTATGATTTCTGTTATTGGATTTTGTGATAAACTTGTTTCTGATAGAATTATTTCAGAAGTTGATAATTGACGATATTGATCAACTAAATTACCGTCAGGTGAACAAAAACGATTTGTTAATGTAGATGTTTGTATTTGTTGTTGTTCGAGATCTTCATTGATGGAACATAGTGGTACATTTGTTGATGGGGTTGACGATATTGTACGAGTGAACGTAGTAACTGGTGGAAAAGGAGAATTGGCTCGTTTAAAAGTAGTTACATTAGATATAGATTGACGTTGTTTTTGAGTTGAAGCTATTGTTGGACGAGCAAAACCAGGAGGTGATGGAGCATTCGATGATGATGAACACGAAGATGAACAAGTTGAATCTGTTGTTGCACTTGTACTTGAACGGGATAATGTTACAGAATCCTTAGTACCATTATTAATCACAGCAACCATTCTATGTACTGCAGAACCAGTATCACTTTCGATATTTTCTCCCTGCTGTTTTTGTTGTTGTTGAGACATTTGTTTAAGTTGAGACCATGTTTTTGTTAAAGAACTTTTTGGACTAACAGGTGGTGGAGTAGGTCTATTATGATTAGCTATCTTTTCACAGATAATAATTGGTTGAGGTTTATTATTATTATTATTATTATGATTATTATGATTATGATTATGATTATGATTATGATTATTATTCTTTTTCGCAGTAAATGGCATAGAAGAAGAAGTTTCAACGACGACAATCGGTGGAGTTCGTGGAGAATTTCCATTTTTTCTTGTACCTTCCCATTGTTTAACAAAAACGCTTCGAATTGGAGAAGATACCTTTGTATGAGTATTCATTGATGAAGCAGCTTGAGATTCAAATTGATGAATTATATTAGCAACTCGAGATGAAAGTACACGATTTTTAAAGAGTTGACATTGAATTTCTAAATCAATTGGTGTTGATTCGACTAGTGAGATCGATGATTGTGAAAGATGTAAGGTTGATAATAATGGTGAAGATGATGGTACAGGTTGGGGTCGCAGAAAAAAAGAGGTTGACTGTTTGTTATTGTTACTATTCGTCGTCGTCGTCGTCAAATCGTTCACGGATGTCCAACGTTGGATGAACGTTGATGATGACATTTTTTCTCTTTCCCTCTCTTTTTTTTTTCTTTCTATGTTCAATATAGAACAGCAAAAATTATTACAGCAACGAGCACATCACCATGTTGATCGGTATCATCGACTACGACGACAATAATAAAGAAGAAGAAGTACGTAACATACTACACACGTGCATTTATGTGTGTCAACTTCAACCTCATGCATACATTGTATAAAAATATTCGTCGGTTACTCGAAGGAGAAATCAACCGTATGCATAAGTATTTAACAAAGAGAAAGAAAGAACGGATAAAAAGAAAAAGAATTTAATGTATAATAAAATGGTGATAATGGTTCTCTACAAAAACAGAAAGAAAAAAAAAAATAAAAAAAACTATGATTGAAATAGACATGATCATCTGACAATGTTTGCATGTCATAAATGTATTTTTTATAATAATATAATAAAAAGTGATCTCCTTTCGAAATGATTTAAATATTTGCTTGTATAAAAACAAATGAATAATAAGATGAAACAAATTTGTATATGAAATAACTGATTTGAAATGAAGCTGTCTGAAGCCTTTTTTTGTCGAATGTCTCGTTGTGTCCTTCGATATTCTTTTATTTGGTTTGTTAACATTGATTTTCTCTCACGTGAGTCATTAGATAGAAGTATGTGCACGATTGCCCGCCAATAAAGGTCGTATTATTATGCATAATTCATACGCCAAGGTCAAGGCTATTGTATGAAGTGATGACGGCGAATTGAACAAATTCATTGCTTTTCAATATCGAAAGTATAATTTATATTTATCTTTGTTTCTTTTTCTCAAGAGAAAAGAAAAAAACAGTATGTTGGAAGTATCATCTTACACACATATAAAGAAAATAGCAGGGAAAAATGCTTTTTTTTATATGTATTGACGATAGACAAATGGACATATCTTACAGATAAGGTGTGTCAAGAAATCATATAATCGAATAATTACTGATATATTTTGAATAATTTATTGTCAACTACAAGTATTATATTATTCATAAGTAGAATTCAGAGTAATCTCGTAGAAAAGAAACAATAACAGAAAAAGAATTTAATCTTACCGTTTTGATATTGTAGGCGATGATGTTACATGTTCAAGTTGATGTTTATTTTTATTTAATATTGATGTAACATTATCTAATGTTTTTGATAATTGTCTTTTATATAATGGTTGATCTTTTTTATTTGCGATTTCAGCTTCAGTTTTAGTTTTTGTTGTTGGAATATTTGATTGATTAACAAAATGTTGTGATAAAACAGTTTGTTCTGGTATTTTTGCTATACTTGTTCGTTTAGTTGTAGATGGTTCTGGTAATTTATTTTGATTTGGTAATGTTAAACTTGCTCGTCGATCAGTAGGAACAGATGCTGAATTTGATTTGTTTACTGTATTAGATAATTTTGATGATAATAAATTTTTTGATTTAGAAGATGAAGCAACAGAATTAATCGATTCATCTGATTTCACAAGATTTAAAGATTTGGAATGATTGACGTTCGAATTAAGAGAATCATGTCCTTCATTATCCGTTGATGTTGATACAAGTCCAATAGTAGACTTACTTTTTATCGAATTTTCAAGAGATTTTTTTATTGGTTCTGATGTTTGTGAGGAAGAAGTTTGATTATGTATATTTTTATTTGTTTTTAATCCATTCGTTTCCTTTTGTAGACGAAAATCACTCACTGTTTTGTTTTCTGTTAAAGTAGATGTTTCTATATTAATCGATTGCTTCTCAGTTGATTGATTTAATGGTCGTTGAGCTTGTTTCTTTGTATCTTTAGCTTTTAATTGAATACCAAATTTATTGGCTACCTTATCTTTATTAAAAGCACCAAGACCCGGTGTAACACTCATTTGTTTATATTAGAAGATCGGTTTTTTTTCTTTCTCAAACTACCAACGACGATTTCATCAGTTGTTGTTGCTGTCTTTTGTACGTATCTTTACTGAGAATATTCTCTCTCTCGCGTTCTCATTCCTAAGAATAGAACCGAAAACAAGCGTCCTTATAAAAAAAAGCAAACAATTCTTTTCTTATTGACTGTGGAAAAAGACGAAGAAATATCTTATTCTTTTTCATATATTTTTTCCTTGTTCTTATTTCCCTCTGATACGTATGCACAGCACAGTCGTGATATCGAACTACGTACAAAATAAAAAAACAAGAATAGGAAAAAAGGGAGGCCTTGGTGCTGGTGCAGAATGGCGATAGATGTTATGGCTGTGATTGTGATTATGCGACATCAGTGATGGTGCTTCTACCAGCACGTCTTTGTCATTAGACGTACATAGAAAAGTCGTAGGACAAATCTTGTTTTACGATAATAATAGAATTAATTCTTTTTTTTTTTATTTTATCAAGAAATATCTTGAGAGACTTTATGGTGAATCAATTCATTTAATATACTATCACAATAATCAAAAATTAGCTCAAAATATTGTTTGTTTCATTTCCAGATGATAGTTGTCATACAGATCCGTTATATAGTAAACAATATGTCCGGTTCTTCTTCTTATTCCAGAAATAACCAAACAAGTTTTATTTATAAGAATATTCATTGATTGTTCTATACAATACATCAGATAGATTATGCTTTTCTTTTACCGAAATTTGATAAACTCGAACTATATTTGATTTACATTTATCTATAATTCTTGATTAATCGCGAAAAAAAAGAATCAATGCATACTCTAATAAATATTCATTCTATTGAATCATGAGCACATATATTCCACAGAATTATCGAGAAAATAAAACTACAACATTCGACTTATTTCACTAAACGTCACTCATTATATATAAAGAACAATATCAATCAATCAAATCATATATTTAGACACATATGTTTTATATATATATACTCAATGAAAACTTCTATTATTGACAGTTGATTGCTTAATAATATTCTTTGATAGCAACGGTCAATAGCGCATGAAGATAACTAAAATGGAATAATAGATATTTTTGCGTAAAGAAATTCGATCAGTGAAAATAATTAAAATGTTTTCAAATATTCAGAAGAGAATTTCGATTACTGTCGTCAATTACTAAACAATTACCTAAATAACATTTGAAAGATTTGTTAAGCAATATGAACTTCTAGAATCAATCAACAATTGTTTATGTCATTCGTATCTGTCAAATGTTATCCATCTATTATAAAACGCCCCAAGAGTACAAATTTGTCTCATGAGACTAATTTCTTGCATTTTTTATAATTTATTCTGCTTTTATGTCCAATGTCCATCATTATTGATCAATGAAAATATTTCAATTTTTTACTTTTCTTTATCTATTAAATTTTCATTTAGCATTTTCCCATGTCAATTTCTAATTTCTGTTACTTTGTTGTTCTTTTATATATAAATAAAATGAACGTTTTATTTGAATGCCAGACATATATATTATTTCCCTGTTTTTGTTTTGCACATATATGTAGAAAAAAAAAAGAAAAACTGCTCAGACAATAACCACGGTCTACATTCAGCCGGGTGAAAAAAAACCAAAATAAAGAAAAAAAAAACGAAGAAAACAACGTTTCAAGAGAAATAATGACGTAGAAAGAGCAGGAAAGAGGAGAAGAAATAGAGAAATAAGAAAACAAATAAGTAAAGGAAAAACGAAAACAACAAGTATAAATAATAGCTGAAATACACACATATTAATATTATCTTATTTTCTCTTTATATCTTTCTCTCTCTGTCACTCTCAGTCTCGTCGAAAAAAAAAACCGAAGATTAATGCAATGTAAATATGCGATTATGTTTATCAAGCTGAATAAGTAGTACCATCCGCAGTTGTAACCGTTGTAGTCGTTGAAGTTGGTGTTGCATAAGTAAATAGTGGTGACTCAGGACTAGTTGGTGTTGATGACAATGGTGGAATTGATGTTAATGGTGGAGTTAGAATAAATGGAAATGGAAAATTTCCATGTGGATGTGCATGAAAATATTGTTGAGCTTGACCAGGATTATTTGTTGTTGTAAAAACTAATGGTTGTTGAGCAAATGGTGAATTAGCAGCTGGATGTGCAGCAAGTAATGGATGTGGTAAAAGTGTTGCTGGTTGAAATATTGGACCAGCAGGATGAAAACCAAATGCAGTTGGACCAAATGGAATCTATTTTAAATTTTTTCAATTTCAATACATTTATTTATTTATATATTTTTATTTAATATACAAAATAAAAGACAAAATAATTATTCGTAGAATAGGACACGTGCAGCTGAATCTAACTTTTGTTTTTATTTTATTTCTTTTTAAATTTTAATATCAGCAAAATACATATATAAGTTTTAATCAACATGCATTTTTTTTTCTTTCTTATATCAAATTTCTATTTAAATTAAAAATAGAAATCATTGTTTCAAAAAAGAAAAAGCGATGAGAAATTTAGTTTTTTTTATATGATCAATACCCAATGATCTGGCATTATTATAGAAGAAGCTTTAAGAGAAATAAAATTCAAAAAATATTACTCATGAAAATCATATTAGAGAATACATTTAAACAATTAAATCATTAAACAATAAATTTTCTTTTTTTTTTCTTTTGATTTTCTTACTGCTCACGCAAATGTGCGACACTGAAAATAAGTTTATGTTGTATTTCGATTTGTTTGTTCGATATAAAGAATAAAAAAGCCCTTGGAGAAAATTACCTCTTCAGGCTGATTCGGCTGCTGCTGCAGAGTTTGTTGTTCTGGTAAAATAAACTGAGGATGATTGGAATCGATCATCATTATCGATGGAGCGGTGGTACTAGCAGCAGAGCCGTACAGCGCATCGTAAGTCTCTTTGTAGAGATCTTCGAGACATTTCTCCTACGATGAAAATTACAACAAAAAAAAAAAAACAAATATCAACTTAGCCATGCGTAGCATTAAATCACACGATATAAAACACATGCAAAATTTATGCTTTTGTTTTTTTTTAAGTAGAAATAAAAAAATAACATACGTCCGTTCGACGAGATGTTGGTCGAAGAATTGTATAATAAGCACCACGATGGTGCACGACAGCTGGAGGTGGTTGACTTGGACGTGAAGATGTTGATAAGACACCGGTTGGTGTTGAAGGTACATTTCGATTTATTGTTGGAGGACTTGTATTACCATTTGTTGATAAACGACCGGTAGCATTTACACATCGACGAATATTTCTATTATAATACACATATGGAAAATGTTTTTCTTTTACAGTCATATTGAATTAGTTTTTTTTTCTTGACTTATTTCTTAACAATTAATTTAAGTAAAAACATGATTAAGTCTATGAATGATGTTTGCATACAAACTAATTGTTTTTAAAATTAGTTCTTGTAAAAATATTGTCTGTTTATCAGATTCAATAGTCTGAATAATAGTTTTTGAAAATGTGTTCCTAATTATAATGTTTTAGCATAGCACAATATCTAACAAACAATACTCTCCACTATTTTGAAATAAGAAGCATCAGCAATGTATTAACGCTTTATATATCATTACATCAAAGATATTTACATTTGAAATATGACTTTCAATAAATATGTGATAATAATCAGGTTATGTATCGTATCTAAGCCATTATAAAAATAAAATAGTTCTTCAAGAGTCTTTTATCGAATAAAGCTAGAAAGAAGATTTCGTATTGAGAGACAACAAAATTTTATCCTTTGAGAATTCATTATATTTATTAACTTCATTGGATTTATCTTCTCATGTTGCAGAACTCATTTCATCTGCATCAGGAGAATCATTTGCGTCACTCCTAACTACATTATTTTGCTATGAAAACTGTGCTGTATTGCTATGAATAGTGGCAGTGAACTCTCGACATCGAGTTCATTGAAGCACTCACTACATTCACAATCATATTTGCTGCAACACTTGAACTAGAGATATGCAATTTCAGCAAACTTCTTACCAAAAACTCATACTGACTACATCCTATTCAGTGTTTATTGATTAACCTGACATATCCATACAGTATGGATGTGCCAATGCTTCTATGAACACTCATCTAGTATAGCCATTGTGTCACTATTTTCACTGAAACTGTACATCCCTAGTTGAGTCACTTACTCTATCAAAATATACCTTTTCCGCAGCAATGTGCACTGGCAACACTAGGCTGATAACGTCAGGAGTTAGTAAAATGAAATTCAACATATCTCATTGCCCTTGATTTCGTTCAATTTAAACAATTTTTTTCATTTTTGGATGTAAAAACTAATCTTGAAAGATGAAACTGATATTTTTCTTTTGTAATTCATCAATATAAAAATTTTTTATATTCATTTAATTGAGTTATATCTCTTTCTTTCATCATTAATAATGAAAATCTTACTTCTGTTGGAGAGCATTAAAAGCAGGTGATACAACTGATGTTCCATTAGTTACTGACGTAGCTATAGTCGGTATTGGTGTTGGATTTGTAGATAATGGTGTACTTGGAATTGTAATATATGGAATAGCTGTTAGATGTGGTGTGAAATCGAATGTCGTAGTTGTTGGAGCAATAGCACCGGTTGGTAAGCCAAACTTAAATAAACATTTTATATATTCAAATAAATATAATCAAGTGACAAAAAAAAGAATATTACTGGTAAACCCGTAGCAATAGTCGACGGACTAACACCACGTGTAAATCTAAAATATTGATTTTTATCAACTGGTTTTGCCAATGTAACTTCAACAATTGAACCATCAATTTCTCGACCTAATAAAAAGAAAATTTCTAAATAAAATAAAATAAAATAAAAACTAACTATACCATTCATAAGATTCATTGCATGTAAAGCATCATCACGTTCTTTAAAATGAACAAATGCATAATCTTTTAATTTTTTGACACGTTCAACAGAATTTGATTTA